GTGGTTTGTGTATTAGACCCGTCGTCCATTTATTTGTAAGTCAATGGGTACGTGCATTAGTGTTATAAGTGACGATACGTACTTGCACCTTGCTCACCGTGTATTTCTTAATCCATCTTCCTTATCCAAGTTCACAATTCATCGTATCATTTGCTTCCCCTGGTGATCCACAAAATGCGTACTACATCGTCAAAGATCTTCTGATAATTAACCGGAATGTTCTTTGTCTACAGTTATCGCGATAAACATTTCGCCTATAATAAAAAGACTTAGAGTCTTATGATATAATAGATATGACGTTAGTGGGATTTGCTTCAAGTTTCAATACCATAAAAACAAACTCATTTGCAACCTTTGTGACGTACCTAAGGGTCCTTATCTAACTTTCAAGTTATTGCGTGACATGCGCATGGAGACTGCCTGCATAATGGAACTTTAGATATGCTATCATCTTTTAAGGTTGTCAACTTGCACTCTAAGATTAACACAAAGGAAAACCATGTAACAGTGTAACCATTTTTATGTACATCCAAAAAGACTTAGACAAATTTTTCAAAAGAATCTTAAAGCTTTGATCAGGAACTGAAGGCATAACTTAGATGCTTAATAAAAAAAACTTCTTTTCAGGTACCTCGCGCGAGAATTGCTCTTCAACACAACTTAGGACTCGGAGGAGCCGCCGTTCTCACAATGTACCGCAAAGGATTCCAGAATTCCTCCCCCAATCAGGTAGCAGCCATCGCTAGCGATCCTAGCGACTTCAAGGTCTTCAAATATATGCAGATACTCCAGGAAGCCATGCAGACAGATGAAGACAACTACATCGAAAAGGTCAGAGGCATCTATGGCTTCAAGGTCAAGAACGGCCCAGGAGGCAGTGAAGGTTACTGGGTTATCAACGCCAAGGAAGGGAAGGGTAAAATTACGTACAACGGTAAAGAGAAACCAGACGTTACCTTCACAATCAGCGACGAAGATGTTGCTGATTTGATTTCTGGAAAACTAAACCCTCAAAAAGCCTTCTTCCAGGGCAAGATTAAAGTCCAAGGGAATATGGGTCTCGCCATGAAATTAACAGATTTGCAGCGTTCTGCAGCTGGAAAAATCGAAACCATTCGTTCCAAATTGTAGTCGGTTCAAAATTTGTGATTGTGAGATTTTACTGGGTATTAATGGTTATGGATTAAGTTAGGCGTTAAGGTACGGGGCATTTGTATTAAGCTGTACTCTTCTCTCTAACCTCTTGACGGAAGCATTGATTTATATCTGTCACAAATCTACGTTCTTGGCATATACCTATGGGTGCAATAAACATTTTGTTGTAGATATTTTATATGTACGTATTTATGGATAAATGCAATCATTCCAAATGATATTTTATGTAATGGATATATTTTGTTAATAAATGGTTTTGTATTATGAATTTATTTTTAATGTATTGTTTTACTTTTCTTTGTTTATTAAAATAAATCAATCATCTAAAGTTTGGCCAATTTGAGAAAAAAAGAAACAAAAGCTACTTTATTTGCCCAGCAAACGTTTCAAATAGTCTATGATTCAAGGTACAGTACAGATAATACTGCGGCGGAACGGAATGGAAGCCAATTTTTGTAACGATATTGTACATAGCATAATGAACTTTATGGTTAATTGTGTAATGTACAAACTAGATACGAGCCAAAATCTTCCGTGGAATACGCGAGCATTCTCGCTGCAAAATAAATTGAGCGTAAGTAATAGGTACACATTTTAAACTCTAATTATGTAATGGTTTTCTACGAGTAAATTAATAGTTATTTGTTATGCAAGGCTGCAAAGTTGTTATTTGCCGCGAGTGCTTGTATTGAAACCTGAGCAAGCGAAGGAAGCTAAGATTGAACCACGAGCGTAGCGAGTGGTTCAAATTTAGATTCCTGAGCGTAGCGAGGGTTTCAAGGCACGAGACGCATAACAACTTTACTGCCAAGCGAAACACACAACTTTTCACCTCCCTATAGCGAGGCAAATGGTAGATGAAAGAAAAACAGTTGAACTATAAAACCTTTTTTAATGAAAAAAAAATGTTTATTTTTTATTATTTATTTTTTTATTTATTAAGGCTTTGGCAAAGCTATCAGCCTGAACATGAAGTTTGTTTCTGTAAATATGGCCGCCACAAAGAGGATAGGCAATTTGAGACGGCGTGTTTGCATTGACTCGGGATTCCTTAAAACGGGCCGATACGGATATTCTAGTTCGAGATTCATATAATTTCGCGTTTTAATCTTCGATTAAGGCACAGTAGCACTATCCTATTCCACTTTAAACTAGATTTCACAAAATAATTGAAAGTCAAAATAAAAACGACACTTTTCCCTCCAAAAGGTCCAGAGCGAATCAAAAAAATGTTTATCTTCGGATGCGTTCTGAATTTACACGTCATCAATTTTTATTCTTGCTTGTACTTTTATTTTGTGTGGTTGTGATTATTGAAATTATTTTAGTTCTTCGACAAATTAAAATAATTTAATAAACACAATTAGTTATCATTGTCAATTTAATGTCAACAATAATTTTTATTCATAAAAAATACCAACGGATTTATGTTACGTAATAAGTAATGTACCAACTACGAATCGATGGTGCCATTAGCTGTTTTTTCATCGAAAGTAAAAGTTAGGGTGCACACAGTCCATCGTCAAGTTCGAATTTCAAAAACCATTTCAACGCTAGCGTGCAAAAAACGCTTTTGCGCGCAGATTTCTAATGATAAAGAAAGCCTTTCCGAGCTAGTGAGGTGAAAAATAATGAAATACAACCAAAATGTAATGTATATTTTGTTAACAATCCACGGCAACAAACATGAACGAAAGCTAAACAAACGCCACAAAGCAAGAGATAGAATGGAAGTTTGTTATATGGGGAAACTAAGGGGAAACTGAAACATTCTAGTTTACTGCTGAAAGCTGAAACTAGAAAGTTTCAACTTTTCCATTTAACAAATAAAATTGGAGTTAGGATTTTTTTAAATTACTCTAAATCGCTCCCTTCATTGTAACAACAACTCACTCAAATTAGAACATTGTGGACTAACCAATAATTTTTGAAATTATTATTAGATATATTTATTACTTCTATAAAGATAAATAAATAGCAAGATAACAATGAAGACATGTTTACGATATTTACTTACCTCGTTATCATACCATTTAACATTTAGTTTGCATCGAGTAAAATTTTTTGCGTGGCTTATTCCAGCGATGGTTGAGATTTTGAAACTTGACTAGACATAAAGAAAAGTCGCTATTGAGTCGGTTCTAGTTGCAAAAAAACTATATTTAGTCAATATGCCGTTCAAAAGTTATACGGGTGTTTTAAGTCAAATCAGCGTAATTGACACGTTTTTAGATGACTATAAAATTTTGGTGCCAATATCTCCAATGTTAGTAGTTACTTATGACAGGGAAGGAGTATACTTCAGATACCTACAATATTTTTCGACTACGAAGGGACCTAACTTTGCAATTTTGAATTGAAACAACACAAATTATCTCTTCATTATTGTCAATAATCTATATAAAACACATTGCTTTGTCCTGGTGACGACGGGTCAAAGTGCAAATGTGGACTTTAGCGCCATCTATACGCGGTTGTTACTAAGTGTTACCAAAGTTAATTATTTGTTAGATGGCGCTTAGAACGTGGCCTGTATTGTACATTCTATTTGGCAATGCATTCTAAGGCCATGTTCCCCCTATCGAAATTATAAAATAGATTTAGTTTTGTTAATAAATGGAGTGTAAATTAATTTAAATGCGAGTTAGAAATGTTTTGGTAGTTACTTACAATAATGTGTGACAAATAAAACTCTTTTACGGAAATCATTTCTCTTTATTGCTCCACAGGATATTAAGCTTTTTTTAAGTAAAAACATAAGTTAAAATCTGTGCATAATATGATCTTATCGTTTCTCTACAATATCAGGTACACCATTATAATATAAATTTTTATACACATTACCAGCAAATCAAGGAATAAATGCGTATTGTCTGGTCCTCAAGTATGGGTAACTATTAGCAATTAATGTCTACCAAATTTTGCCAAATGCTGCAATTAATAAATTCACGTACAAGTGACGCCATCTACCGATAATGCATTGTAATTTTGTGTTTACAAAACCCCACACCGCAGCGCAATATCCCAATTCCATTTTTTTATGAAAGTCTATATTTTACAATGAAATCAAATTGGGACACATTGTTTTTACCGATAAATCACATTATAAAATAAAACTTAAAACAACGCAAGATTCATTGTTTTGTTGTTTTGAAAATTTAATGAAGTACAGTGTAATTAACATAACAGAGACTTGTGGCAGGTACATTTTGCAAATGGGGGCAAATGATACTACTTGACAGTTGCGCTAAATGATGTTCAATACCTCTACTCTACTTTACTTTTTTGCAAACACAGTAATCATATTTAAAAAATCGATAATATTTATTTACAACTGGTGTCTTCGAAATAAGTAAAAAAAAAACTCGTTAAATTGTGAATGAGTGTAGATTTTATATTTCATATTTTACATTCGTTTTATAAATAATACCTAGCTTAATCTAGGCAGGATACAAAACAAACTGTTTTAAATTCTGTGATAAAATTTAAACTTACTGCCATATTTGAACACGCTCCTTTAAAAAAATTACGTTGGCACAAAACAATACAGCTTTCCTTTTCAATGCCTTTTTTAATTACATTATTATAATTTTCGCTTTACAAAGGGTTAAGAATCTCTTTTCGACCATTTAACTTTGTCAAAGATATGGCAGTAAGTGTATACGAAGTCTTCATAGAAATGAAGAAATATTGATACACTAGTCGTTGAAAAAGTTTTTTGTACTCCGTAAAATTTAGCTAGATTTAAATGACAATGTCAAAATTCATGAACAAGTGATGAGACACGATCGGTGAAATCGAGAATCGTCGTTAAAATATATCGTCTATACGAACGTAACCGAGCATACCTAAAAATACTACAGTACATAAAATACACAATTAACAACCAACAATGTGGCTCAAAACAGCAGCACAAGTAACTTACAAAAAATTAAAATAATTCATTTTAAAAATTGCCGCCAAACTGTTTCTCAACAAGCAGACTTTTCCGTCAGACGTCACTTCATTGTATGAAATTGTGAACATTTGTGAATTTCAATGATCATATATAACAAGTAGTATCGTAAATATGTAAAATATTTATTGTTTTGTCGTACTTAAAAAATATAATATGTAGGACGCCGCTACAAATTTACGTCGTCCTAATAATATCGACTTGTCATTCTAATCAAACTTCGTTTTACAGTGTATATTAGTATAACTTATTAATTACGTTTTATAGGTAAGTTGATTAAAGTTACATAAGCGTGTTTGTAATAAATTTTAAATTACTTTGACTTTGAAAATGTTGTCATTTTAACAGTAGACAGATTTACATATTTAAATAGGTAGTGGGTGTCGGTCATTGCAGTGACCTTGGTGGTTCCAAGTTTATGTAGTAAGAAGTGACTACATAAACAATCACTACGTGACGCGATATGACATACAGGTGTACTCAACGGAATTTATTACTCGCAGATATATTTACACATCGCCACAGACAATATTTTGAAAATAGAAATATAGAGGGAATTGCGCGGCGGCTTACACGCAGTCGCAATTTCTCAACGATACAGACTCAAAACTTTGACTGTATTTTAGTCTACCTCCACTTCTACTATGTCACAGCGACAGAAGTGATCCGTATGACATAAATACTTCCGTTTCTGAATCACATAAATTGATTATTTGTCTTACACTTTTTCAACGACAGTGTAGAAAAATGTGATTTTCACATAGAAAAAAGATTTTTGATGTCATTTTTAACAATCATACATTGAGATCACAGGAGTATGTTATACCCTGGCAAATCACCAATCACGCTGAAAACTATGTCTCATTTTTCTTTCGTCGCATTACAGCTGTTTAATGCTAATTAGAAAATCTAAGTTTCAATACAGGATTACGTGAAAAGAAAATCATAGCTTTGGTTAAATAGACAGTAAATTGTTTAGTGAAAATATAGACTTTAGTTATATTACGGCAAATATATTCACATCTATGTCAATTACAAATTAGACAGATAATCTGTGTTCTCTTGTGACACGTAATTGTCTTTTGAAACTAAGTTAACGAGGGCAAATGCGTATGTGGGGGCAATTGAATTTTGTCACTATTATAATACTGTTATAGATCAAATTTACTGAATTTCTAGCCGCTAAAGATTATATTAGTTACCTATTAATTTTGAAATGTATGATTTTGCCGCATAGGCACATTTTCAATATATTATATATATAAAAAATACTATCGTCACAGATGAATATATTTAAGTATATGTAGGTCGTTCACGATTATGGCAATTAATTCTGAAGTATACGTAACCTGCTAGTATTGACATAGAGTAGACAAAAGAACAGAGACAGAGTTTACCGGCGCCTAATTCTAATATTTTAAGGATTACAACAGCCTGGCATATGCTCACCGCATCGTACCGTTTCGTAAAACAAAATTATATTTACATTAAAAAAACTCTCACTGCCCTTTATCTACCTGTATAATAAGAATTAAAAACTAAATTAAACATGCTTGTATTGGGATTGCATTATATCTTACAATTTGAACAGTACTATTTTTGTAATTGTACATTAATATGTTTTCTATTGTAACAAGTATTTAGCAACTAACAGAAGAGCAGATAGGTGAATTTCAGAAAATTGTACCTACGTAATTTCATTGTTTGACGAGGAGTTTAGCACCATCTATTAATTTGTTTTAAGGCAAAGACAGTGAGAGCCGAGGTCATTTGAAACTTTTCCATCGATACAAAATAGTAATACAACCTACGCTAATAATTAAAGCGTTATTTAGGTTAAGTCGTTAAATGGCTTAGCCACATTTTACCTTTTTTATGTATTCAAACAAAATAGTTTACCGTTATCACTTTCAATGATTTACAAACCAATATTAGTAGAACCAAAAATAGTTGCCAATAAATATTAAAATTACATATCATACATTTAAAGACTAAGTTAGCCAAGCCAAAAATATCATAGCACCAAAATACACGTCCAACAACAGTACTGACAGAAAAGTTTCATATTTCTACCCTAACAATTAATAATGACATACAGTCGGTTTCTAATTTTACACTATATTAAAATTTAAAACAATAAGTTATTACACTCGCTTACGGTACCTATTTGAATAATATATATTAATAAGTAAATGGTAATTTATTTTCTCAAAATGTCTCTGACTAGAGATATAACCTATCCTAAAACTGAAACCTTAGCTTAAAACAACTAACCAATAGCACTCTTTAAAAGGAAAAATCTTTAAAAGAAAACATACTTTAATACATTTCTCTACAATTTGAGCTTTGCCAAAAATTTTCAAGTCATTTTTATCAGTGAAATCTCATTCCACCACGATCGAGAATACACAATTTTATTGTGATATACGAGTCCGACATTACGTCGGATCATACAGTGGGTCCAAGTCTGGTGCCAGCACGAGAGAAGATACCTTAAAGTCTATATTTTATTCTTCCAAGTACCTGTGCTAGTTGACGCGAATGTAAATCGTTCCTCTTGTCGCTAACTGTCGTATATGACATTTTTGTCGTAACTTAATACGAAGTACGACCTTACACAGTTTTTAAAAGCGATTTGTGCTATAATCGTAGCATGTGTTGCCTGATCCTGTGTTATTCCCTGAACGTCTTAACTTGGGCCTATTTGTGCATTATTTAGGTGTACACGCTCCATCATCGACCTCATCATCACTTTCGATTGGGTGAGATGGAGGTGAAATGGGCACTTATTCTATTACAAATAAAAAAAATGTGTAGGTACCTTTTTCATACAATAATTTAATGCACTGATAAAACCAGCTCAAGATGCTCTAAGTTGAAAATAAGTTTCTTGAAAAAAATTCTCTGATACGTCATTACGACAGTTAGGACATTGCTCATTGATTTTTAATATCAACGCCAAACAAACTTGGCACATAATGCGAGCTCATTCTTACATTAATCAACTAATTTGATTATCGAGCTCACCAGGCAACGTTGAGCTGTCACGTCATTTCCATCAATTTCAATTAGCGTTAGGCCTAAAACAACACCAAATACCGATAATGACTTGACCCACACAACAAGGAATACCACACGAAATACTAAAGTTATATAAACATTGTTATTTGAACACGAGATACCAAATAAATAAGCTGCTCTCTCGCAAAAAATATGCACTAAAAATGCACCGTTACTGGCGAAGGCTAAACTAGCGATATTACATTCGCTTTTTACATAAATGAAACATCTATGGGAGACATTGAAACACTAGAATAATCTAAAATGATATAGATATGACATACATTATACTATCCTTAATGTCAACTTGGTAGGTATTGAATGAATGATTGAACGAATGAATAAATAAATACAGTTCGATCGAATAATAAATTATTCTAGTGTTTAATTTGACCCTTTCGATTTGAGTACAAATGCAAAATTTTTCAAAGCTTGTGTGTGATGATTAGAAAAAAACGCCCAAGTTTCAGAAGTAACAAGCTTAAAGTTATAATTTTACAACCAATTGTAAAGGCTTATTCATATCAACACTTTATAAATATAAAAAACTTTTAGAAGACCACAGGATAAATGAACAAACTTTAATTTCAGGCAGTGATAAATTCACTTCTAATTTAAAATTATTGCTCCAAAGTACAGATTCGAAATCAAAGTAAATCCAAAACGAAGGTTTACGTAACGTTCCTTAATTTAGCCGAATATTTTTTTTAAATTATTATTATTTACAATGAGGTAGAATGCGGGACATATCCCATATCATTAATTTTGTTGGCCTGGGCTACAGCACTTATTCAATAACAATGTAGACCGGAAAAAAGACCTAACAAAACGTAACAACTTGACACGATAACTTTATCGAGTTTCTGTAAAGGCATATAGCTTGAACTTATTTAGAAATGTTATAATTTAAGCTACAGAGTCATTGTACAACCTGTTGTAAGAAAGAGGTATGACGTTCTGGTATTTGTATAGTGGATTAAAAATTGTGAATAACCACAAAGTTATTATTATTTGGTACAGCTGAGGTTTATACAGAGTTATTAAGAAAAATAAGACGAAAAAATAATTCATAATATTGTCAACTCCCGAATGCTAATTGTGTACTTTCATAAGAATTGTTCTGATAACATGTTATGATCATCTCACGTTTTATAACAGTTGTAAATTCCATAGACCAAATAAAAAAACGACAGTAGAGGTGAGAGGAAGTGATTAATCCTAAAACATTGATATGGCTAAGTGTACATATCTATTGCAAAAAAAAAACTTAAAGATAACCCTGTATAAATTATGCTTATGGTTGTAGGTTTTTAAAACTATTTCACTATATTAAAATGTGAGTATTCTGTTAATTATTGAAAAAGCACAGATTGAGGTTATATGACAAGGCAACAGAAGTACCTTCAGAATGGCACACATCAAAGAGACTACAAGAAAAACTGTATAAAACAACTAATTTCATAAAACTGTACTTGATATGATTATGTACATCTGTTTGTTTGTATCAGGCTACTGTATGTTTTATATTTTGTTGTAAAATCGACAATTATTGAACAATTTACATGTTGCAATATGAAATTGCATCATGTGAAATGTTCACAACAGTACAAGAGTATAAATATCTAGTAGAAGAATTCCCATGGATTTTTATCAACAACATTCCAAAGGCTGAAAAAATTAAAACTCGATATTTACACGGTGCGTAACGTACGAAGGGTATCGTTGGGCACCTCAAAGTTTTGTACTTTGGAGACGCAATGTCACTAAGCGTTCATCGCAAGTCACTAGCGTAGCCGAGTGATCACTCGCGTAGGTCAACATGGCGGTTCAGCCGGCTCCTGTTTCGGCGACGCATGCGGCGAAGCTTTCAGCCTGTCCCGGTCTTTTGGACCATCGAAACGCCGTTCCCGTCTTTCTAACTCTGCCTCGCGTTCTTCAATCCTTGCTTCCCTCTGCGCTAACGCGGCCTCCTTTTCGTCTAATCTCCTCGCTCGCTCGGCTAACCTCGCTTCCGCGTCTAGCAACCTCGCTGCCAACTCAGGGTCAGTATGCGGAGGCGGGGAGGTCGATGACGTCACGTCATCCACCGGTGGTGTCAATGGCTTTAAAGCTACATTCGGCTGGAAGTCTCTTTCGAACCTCGTGCAATCTGCTACTCTGACAACTCTTTCAGGATGTTGTAGCACAGGTTCACTTTTGCCCCATGGTCTGAAGGCGGATAACGTTCTGTAGTGGAGGTGCGCGTAAGGATCTAGGTAAACCGCGTAGCTGTAGTCTTCACTTCGCGCTTTCTTTGGAGGTGACTCAGCCGGCTCTGGCTTGCATACCACTGTCTCTACCACCTGAAATTTAAAAATAATCATATTTAAGAACAATAGACTCCCAACAGACATACTACTACTAAAAATAGAGTGGGAAGAAAGGTATTTCTTCGATTTTCGGTGTTTGATCTTCTTCAATAAGACCGAACATTGGGGTTGAACGTAACTAGCTGTGTATTGAGCCCATAATAATCGATCTCAAAGTTTACTATGTGCGTAAACAAGTTGACGTCAGCAAAGGTCAACCTTATCCAAGTCGCAAATAAATTCTAAGCGAGCCAGTGATACTGCGCGCACATGTCCTCGATATATAGCCATCGACCCTGATTTCTCAGAAATTATTACGATAATGAATATCTCGAGTTCTAACAACGTATTTATACAATATCTCTTCTATCGATGCGGAGCGATAGGTAGTTATTATCTTCTGAATGAGACTCAATCTATCTGTATTCCCAATTAAGAATAGAATGAATACACCTACCATAGCTGTGAGATCAACATTTGCTTGGCGACGAAGTGAATTACTACGTGAGACTTTTCACAAACGAATGCCCTCTAAAATTTCTTTCATTGCTCTTAATAAACAATACCTTAATTCAAGATCATCTTTTTCAAGAGTGTATAACCTCTAAGTCATGTATTTGTATAGTACGTTCATTTTACGTAATGCAGGTACGTACATATTACACAGGCGTGGGTTGGGGGTGGCAGACAACGCACGTCATCACTCCCCGTGAGGGTAAAAGGAGAGGGCGAGACTGGCGGGGCAGGGGGGAGGGCAACAGGCGTCGGAGGCTATACTCCAGTTACTATAAAAAGAGCCCTGACAACAGTAAAGCAACTTTTTATACTTTAAAGATTCGACGTTTTGGTCTGGCACACTTGCTTGACATAATGGACATGATTATGAGTCATATTGTGATATGCCTTTAGCAATTTGTCGCCATGTTTGTACCTTCCGTAATTATTGCTACGGGAATTTAAACGTAATTTCTAGGTATCCAGAGGTTTTGTTAAGTTTTATGCGTTTAGAAATTAATATTGTTTCCTAGGGTGTCAAAGATTCTGTTAAAATTCACAGCAAAATGTAGGTCGCGGCCGGAGGCGGCCTCGGGTGGCATTCATCCCTGGGCGGGTAGCGATTGGCCCCTGCCGGGAGGCGTCGTCCCCCGGCGGGAAGCAGACGACCCCGAGACGCTACCCCGCCCGGGACAAGCTGCCAACCTCGACACCAGACGTGGCAAACGTGCTTGAGGAAATATTGACTCTCTTTGTGGCTACTCGCGAAGGTAAGACTATTATTCTTCGTTAATAGTGTGCGGTCGTATGTCGTACAGATTCCCCAATGTAAATTGGGACAGCGCAGTGTGGTGTACGAGTATTCAATTACCGTTAGATGAAACCTCTATCCTGCTGTGAGATGTATACAGGATATAAGTGCCTAAATATTATGTTATTTTATACGTCACTTTATATTTTGATATAAGGTGCTGTTACAGGATTACAATAACTGTGTAACACCAAGAGAGTGATAAATATTTTGACTTTGACTTTATATGCATAGACTATAATTTATAAAAAATAGTCAAATGTCTTTCTCTTTTAGACTCGCAAACACGGTTACGAAAATGAAAAATATATATAAGTCGAGTTAGTCAATTTATTTTTTTCATTATGTACGCTCTCTTGCTAACTCTGAATTCAGCACTACTCTGTACTTTCCAGCGCATCTAACCTGACCTTTTATGAAAAATGTTATCTGAAAGTTAATTTACATTTTCGCTCGTGGAATTCACAGAATGAAATTTCATTTTTAATAGAAAATGTACAAAATGAAAATTTCTCCGAAGTGGAAATCGTTTTCGCTGGTGTACCCACCCTACGTTGATGTAAACGTGGGAAAAAGGGCGTTACAGAATGGAGCACTTTATTCTGCGTGACAAACTAACTGTTTGCAGAAGATTTTATTTGTAGAACAAGAGATCACGTGGTGAGTAAACATTGAAAATCGGTAAAATTCGGAAACTACGAATATTTCCGAATGCTGTTGCTACGTTTGTAAGTAATCGTATCAATCTTATTAACGCCTTGACTTTGTGAATGACTTTCATTCTATAATCTCGGCAACGACGTTCGGAAATTTCCGGACGTTCCCGATGCTCAATGTTTATTCTCTATGTCTATAGCAGAAAGTATGGATCTAAATTGATCATAAATAGATCCCGAAACTACGTTTAGTACGACATAACCACAACATAAACATATGTCGCCAATAGTATAAAGAGCAAGTACCTAAATGTCACATTGCTCGAAAATATCAAAGTGTTCATCACAGCATTCTCGTGCTATGTTCAAATAACCTTTGGTAAATGCAGTAGATTGGACTGATGAAACGGACTGGTATCTTGATTATGGAGTATGATATGAAATAGAAAGGAAATGCTGAACAATTCTGAATTATAATGGCGCGTCTACGTTGGGAGTGCACTGCGAGATTATGAGAATGTGTACGTTTGCAAACGGCGCGTGCAGCGGGCGTGCACACATACAAGCCGCGTTGCTACGTTTGTAGGGAGTTACCACATTTGTTTTATTGCACTATAATATTAAGATGTCTTTAGAAAACATTTCAACTTTGTCACCAATAGTTACTGTTCAAAATTGTTATTTATCTCGTATCCTACTCAATTAATTAGGTACGATGAACTCTGAATGCGGAGTTAATTTTGAATTGCTACTTAACTCAGGGTTGCCTTTATCTCCATGTAATTGACCCCAATAATAAATACTTCTCCGAAATACGCGTATGCGTACATTTATTTAGATACACCACCGGCAGATACATAGAGAAACTTACACTGTTTTGTCATATAAATTTTTATACAGTATGTTATATCATTACAAGCGTATACAGAAATTACGCAAGATAACATCAAACACTTTAATACTACATGAATACTAGTAAGTATGGTATTATTTATTATATTACTTCTACAGCTTGTCGGATTTTTCGATTTTCTATACGAATCAATATAAATAAAAAAAAATACAAAAACTTTTATAGATTTCTCATTGATGGCGCTACAGCCGGATTGTTTTGTTTGTATTCGATCCTTGTATTAACAATTATACAACTCAATTAAATCGATGCATAAAAAGAGGAGTTATATAGACGAAGAGTATCTGTGTGTGGCATCGTAGTAGAGGGGCGGCTGAAAAGTAATCTACCTATATACAACCAATGTATGTCCAACGATATCTACGTAATATACTTGCGTTATGTATGAAATAAAAGATTATCATGGTTATTTTGTTTTTTCAACTTGATAATTACATAGAAAATGTATACAAGAGATGTACTTATTATGTTAGAAAGGTAATTGAGACAAATTAAAAAAGGTGAAAAAAGTTTTTGCGCATTTTAATCATTTTGTTTTATCTTCCGCCATTTTGTCCATACAAAGGCAAACGTAATAGACGAGTGTCACTAATTTTGAAAAAAGAATAAACGACGAAAGAATCACGATGTTGGCCAGTATTATTTTTTGAATTTGAAATAATCATGAGCGACGAGACGAACAAGTCGTGCTCCTGGTGCTAAGCGACACGCCTGCCGTTGCAGTGCCACTCAGAGCTTTAAATCGCAAAGATCTTATGGGCATTGCCACTGCGCCCGTCACCTGAGACGTAACTTCACAAGTCGCATAAGCCTGTAATTTCACCAACACATTACTGCTTGGCGTTGTATTTGTACATTAATTCTAATTATGACAGTTAAAAAGAATATACATATCCTGTTTTATATATATTTTAGGTTCCATGTTTGAAACAAAACATAACACCAACGGATTTCTTTACTTTTAAATAATTAACCGGTAATATACAAAAAATACATTTAAGTTACAAAGCAAAAAAATGGTGTTTTGACTTGCAACAATTTACGTGAGAGGTATCTAATTTAAAGTTTTTTAAGGAATACCAAAAAATTATTCCCAAAGTTGTTCGCATATGTTTCATGTACTTGTTTACTGTATTTAAACCACATGGTTACCTTTCTTCGTCAAGTAATAACTAGTTTAAACTAGTTATTACTGGCTTGATGATACATCAAAATGTTAACTAAAATATATTTTAGATTAATGTAAATTTACTTATTGTCTTTAGTAAATAAACTGGCTCTAGGTAGGTATGAATGTTATTGAGATAACTGTGTTGTATTCGATAGGTATGTCCGTGTCAGACCGCCTATACGTAGTTATATCAATAAAGACATTATGTTATTTATGTTCTTGATAACGCGTCCTCGAAATTGGCGAAATACTACGTAATTTGTGATAAAATGATAAAGAGGTATTTTTTTGAATATGTGTGTACCGCATTCATTCAAAGTACAACTATCGTGACCGCATATTTTGTGTTAGCGTAAATTGAATTTATTGTGGTACCTGAAAGGTTGTTTTCTACTTAGAGATGTGTACCTATACAATTTAAGTATTAAGAAATAAGCAAAAATAACATAGAAACGTATGCAAGCGAAAGCAAATGGTGATTAATTAGCACTGTTATTTAATAGAAAATATTTGGCAAACGAAAGTTGAGACTGAGAGTTTTGTAAAACTTTTTAGATGGCAACACTAAAATCTGTTGTCAAAACTGTCAGTACGCCATTAGCGAGTACAATATTTTTTAGTTTTTTCATTGTCGCTTTATCAATCATGAATAAAACGATTAAAAGTAACGTGCGAAAGTTACTTCATACTATGATTACTAAATATAAAAAAAAAACAAGTGGAGCGGGAAGGTGTTTGCAAGCAGACACAAACATATTTACATACGGTTTTGGACTTCTTAGGTTAGTATGACGGGTTATTTTGATACTTTGTTGGTTTTGTAATTTGGATAACGGAGCATATAAAGATTTTACAGTTTTTGATAACCATGTAATATTTTCTTTTAGTGCAAAACATGGAACATGTATCAGGTGTTGCTGAAATATTACAAACTGGAACTGGAACAAC